AGAGGAAATGATTCTAATTTATGGTGCCCAAAATCAATGTGCTCGGCAAACTGCCGTCACGTTTAACGCCAGACATCTGGGGAAGATAACTAAGCATAAATATTTGTTGTTTTTAAATTTGCTCAAACTGGATCTGTTGCAGATAAAAAACGTGATCATCGGATAGTTTTCGATGAAGCCGCTCGAGTTGAAGTTTTGGGTCATTTTGGAATAAATTAATAGTTCATTACGCAAAATTGTTTCTGCGACTCATTAGGCTCTGTACACACAGTTACTAAGCTCTATAAATTTCATCCGTTCAAAATAAAAATAATGCAAGAGTTAACCGAAGATGATTTTGATAGGCCAGTTGAGTTTTGTAAACAAATGACAGGTACTGGAGCAATCAAAATCCTCATGCTTTCGTAAAGCGGCTTACCCAGTACCCCCAAAAAATTAATGTATGGGCAGGCATTTCCCGAAACAAAGTGATTGGGCCATTGTTTATTAATTGAAATTTGAATTGAGACAATTGTTTGGATATGTTGGGAAATACCATCAATTCTTATCACTGAAACCATTCAAAACCAAATCGAAAAGGATGGAAACCCTATACTTGATGAAGCTGAAATATATTTCCAGCAAGACGGCGCTCCTCCTCACTATGTTCTTCCGGTTCGGCAATGGCTATACGACGAGTTTCCAGATAACTGGATAGGGCGAAAAGGGCCTATAGAATGGCTTGCTAGATCTCCTTATTTGACGCCATCAGACTTTTTTCTATGGGGCCATCTGAAATCCTTTGTGTTTACTCCCCAACCTGAAAGTTTGGATGAACTGTGTAAACGCATTATCGAAAGGTGCCATAATATCCCACAACATGTTGAAAATATCCGTCAGGAATTTGAACATCGCCTATATCATTGTTTGGAAAATAACGGGTAACATTTTGAACACTTATTGACCTAAAAAGTGATATTTCCGTGTGTTTTTGTTTTCTATCTGAACAAATCAAAATAAATAGTGATTTTTCTAATTTCCTTGAAAACGAATCGACTGACTTTAAAAAATGAAACGTCAAAATAAAGGATTTCTAAAGACCTTTCAAACAAGCTATTACTCGATACCACTTGTCACTTGAAATTTTCAAGTGGATAACCCTGGGGGTAGAGGATGAAAGGGAGTGAAGTAGTTTTTGGTTAAAACGTTTTCCCCTTTGACAAATCTTTTGACCTGCGTCGGCGTTTTTTTCTTTTAATCAGTGGTTTTCGATAAGTACGTGGGGGGAAATTTTCAAATGAGCACCCTGTATATGCTCTTTCTACGTTGCTATAGTACCGTTGAAAATTATGCTGTCATTAGGATAGCATATTTTGTACCCGAAACATAATCATGTAGCTTCCTAGCCATAACTTTCTGTGTAACTATCCTTACCACTTGACAATCCTAGTTGTTCTATTTCGCTAACGTGATTCCATGATTCCCTTTAGGCTGTGGAGTTGATTGATTTTTGCAAAGATTCGTTTTAGATATATCACAGCATGCCGCATTGGCACAGTTCGTCTATTATCCCCAGAATTACAGGCCCGTCGACCATCCGCATGTATATGTATATATTCGGTGGTCCAGACTTGCTACCGCTACCCGCTGCTGATACTGGACCGAGCTGGACCGGTTTGACAATTTATATGCAAATGAGGGGCTTCGAATTACAAACTGGAAGCCACAACGGTGGCGGGGGAAATTCGATGCCAACAGTCTGATGCCAAATTCTCGCAGTGTTGACAGTGCTTGAGAATTTTCTAGAAAGTTCTTAGGCAAACTACTAACATAGTACGTTTGAGTGAGAAAAATAAAAGGTTTTGCATCTATGAATTCCCAAAATCAATCGTCCTACTTAAGGTCGTTTATATTCCCCAGAATTTCACATGCAATGCGTTCTTTCTATCTCTCTCTCTCTGGCTGGCCAGCAATCCAGCCAAAAGTCTTTAAATTCCTGTATAATGTATGTTAGAGCCATAGACCATATGATTTGTACCCATCCTGGAAGGTGTTGCTTCTGGATCGGCTCTACTGTTGTAATCTAAATTGTAACTACGGCATGTCCGAGGTCCAAACATAGACGGATGAGAGGTGCTCACCGAGGTAATAGTGGGAGAAGATCTGAGGTAATCCAAGGAGATCTGGAGTAATCAAAAGCATTCCGTTGCAATTGCAAGACCTCATATTGAGGCTCATGTCGTTGCTCTTGACATCAGACAAGCTTTTGATCAGATTTAGCATGCTGTCCTTTCACGCAAGCCTCCATCATATGACCTCCCAGACAAGGCATGCAGTCCAGCCGCAAGATATTCGTGGTAATTGACGGTTCCTCCTCTTCGTCCCACAATATCAACGCGGATGTTTCCCAGAGATCAGTCTTGGCAACAGCATCATTTCTATTACATTTCAACTTGCACGATAAATTCCCTGCCCAGCTTTGACGATGACAGCACCCTACATGCAGGCATTCAGTGGGACAAGCCGATCTCTGCAGATGAGTTGGAGAGAAGAAGCCTAATAGCGACTTCCTCTTTGACGAGAGACCTGAACGTTATCACCGCTTGGAGACACAACAATCTGGTACAGTTCAATGCTTCCAAAACACAGTACTGTACACTGACTAACAAAAACCGCTCCAGTGCTCATGCAGTTTCGATGGATAGCCAAATTCGACCAAAGAGCCAATAATTGCGGCTGCTAGCGGTCCAGATTACCGAGGACTTAATTTGGCATTAACAGATTTCTTCATCAGCAACAACTGCCGTCAAAGGGTTAGGTTATTTGTTTACGGCTTAGAAATATTTTGCTCCGCACAACCTCATCACTCTATAGAAGGCCCAGATAAGACCTAGCCTCGACTAATGCTCACATGTTTTGGACTTCACCGCCTCGACTACATTGTCCATACTTGATGTTGTTCAGAGAAGGGTCGTTCGACTGATCGATGACACTTCTCTTGGTTTTGTTCATCAGAGCTCTCCTCCATAGTGCACCGCGCGTTGAGCCTGCCAGACGGACCGCCAGGCTCGTGCCTCCCATCTCAACTCTATCGAACTCCTCACATCGAGAACAGTATGACCGCTTCTCCTTTCTTAGGGTCTCGATATTGTGGAACAGACTGCCAGAGGTAGGATTTCCCATTTGCAATTGTGATAAGGCCAACCTTAGGCAGTTCAAAAATCGAATTAACAAGGCGTGTTCAAGTTCCGTATATCAGTCGCGGTGCCCCGGTATTTTTCTTACTCGACTACTTCAGTAAAAAATATCCAAGATGACACAAGGCAACCTATGAAGGTTCAGGGAGATTGACGATGATCTTCGAGGAAATCTAAAGGAATATGAGCGGAGGCATGGCAGTGATTAGATCCTCGCCAAAACCTCGACAACCTATATTTATGGTTCAGCCTGAATTTTACATTCTGTATAACTATTCCATATAGCCCTTTGCTTTACCTGGTCATTTCCATCTTATATTCTGGTTACAGCACTCGATACCCCATTACATTCAGCCTATGGTGTCCTAAGGCCTCACGGTGATCTGACATGTTGACAGAGGGTTTATCTGTCTCTCCACCCAACAATCGGAAATTATTCTTGTCCAGAGATGGATTTCAACCTATCCGCCCTGGGTCTACGAATACTTCCCTTGCCTGCCGGAGATTTCTGTTACATGTACTTCTTTTCAGTATCAATTTTAAATCTACCCTTCTCTTGTAAATTCATTTTGCTGCTAATCTAATAACCAGATAAAATCTTCAATTGGACCTTGCCTTTGCAACCAGTAATCCCGGAACCTATAATGAGACCTTGCAACGTCGTCTAAACCAGTGTTTCCCAACCTTTTTTTTTTTGTTGAGGCTCCCCGGACTATAAATTATATTTTCATGTGCCCCTTTACTTTTTCAATAGATACAAAAAAACGCTCATTATATAGGTACAAAGACTTCTATTTTAATTCTTTTAAAAGTTTAAATAAACTAATAAATGTTTTTTATCGAAAAACCTGAATAAAAGAAGAGTAGGTACTACTGAGATACTTGAGATTGCATGTTTTGTACCAGCTGGTCGATTCTAGATTCCGTTTTTGCCAGAGCTATCATCAGGTCGCTATCGACGTCAAGATGATTTCGCTATTTTAATTAAAACTATAGCAGAAAAGCCTGTCTCACATAAGTAAGTTGAAGAAAAAGGAACTAGTATTCGTAAAGCAAGAGAGTGACGAATTAACAGGCAATCTTTTGATCCAAAATTTCTCCAATGTTAAAAGATGGAAGTCATCTTTCATGGACGAATCAGCCTTTATTTCTATAAATTCTTCCTGAACTTCTTCTGGTAATTGTGACACATCGGCAACAAATGTATTTCTTGTCATGTGCCATATTGGTGACTCTGAACTGATGTCTCGATAGTATCGGCGAAATTTGTCTTCCAGCGCTTGCAAATGAGTTTTTATGTCAGCTTTTAAATTTGAATCCAGTACTCTTATGATATTTTTAATTGCTTCGAACAGAATCGAGATCCTCGCAAAGTAAATAACCGACTGTTCAAAACGCTGCTCTTGATGTAGTTTACAATCCCTATAGCCGAGTCCAAAGTCTAACGTAATTTCTGTGGCAATGTTTTGGAAGCCAAAGCTTACCGATGAATAACACAATGTGTACTAACCATTGCAGGATTTTTTCCTTGAGCTTTTTAGCTGAGCCCGATCGTACACCTATCATTGCAGGTGCACCATCTGTGCAAAGTCCAAAGAGTTTCTTCCAATCCAAGTCATTTTTTTCAACAAAATTTGATATTGAAATAAATATATCTTCAGATGGAGTACCTGCTGTCAAAGATTGGGAGTATAAAATCTCTTGTTGAATGCTATCTCCGCCGATGTAACGAACATAAACTATTAACTGTGCACAATTAACGATGTCGGTGGATTCATCGCAACTGATGGCAAAAAATGGTTATAATTTTACTTCGTTAATTACTCGTACTTGTGACTTTATGTCTGCTCCAATGACATCGATTCTACGCTTGACTGTGTTATTCGAAAGAGAAATAGACTTCACTTTTTGCTCTGCATCTTCTCCTAAAATTATCTGCGTGGCTTTTAGGAAATATGGTTTTATTAATTCTTCACCGATAATATGAGGTTTCTTTTGCTTTGCTATTTCAAATGAAGCTTTGAGTTGCTGCGATACACCTGTGTGATAACTTCCCGATTTGTCCAGTCTCATCCGCTGGAGTGATTCTGCTTTAGAAGAAAAAACTCTTTCGTCTTCAAAACCAGAGTAGGATGTTGTTGCTTCAAATGCCTTTCAAGGCGATTGGGCCTCATGCTCTCATTACTTAAAACTTTCATGCATATCATACACTGAGGCAATCGTAATTCGTCTTTTTCTATGAAGGTAAATCCAAACTTAACCTACATGTAATTACTAATTATATGCCCATTATTTTATCTTAATAACGTAATGTATTCAACAGAATATTGGCCACCGGGTGATTTATATTTTTGTAGGCAGGTTGACGTTATAACAATTTTAAATACATTTTGAATCAATATTAGGTACTTAAAGTTCGTCGTTTCAAAATTATTTCGCCACGTTTGATTGTGTTGTGGTAAGAAAGTCCCAATGGCCGATCTATGAACGCGTCTCCACTCAATCAACAATTAAGTAAATTAAATAAGAATGGTAACTGAACTTTGTAAATACACAAACTTACCTTTTAACAGTGAGACACAATAATTTGACACACTCAAACAGATTTCTCAAAAAAACATGTACATCGAAACGTCAAATTTTGTGGGAATGAATGTCACAGATGCTAATCTGCGTCTGGTAGGTACACAATTGTTTTCTAAGTGATGAATGTTAAGCGGAGCGCGGCGGGGGTGCGCGCGGGTTTCATGTTGTGACTTGTCGAATCTTGTATAAACCGCGATTGACGACGCCGGGTTTTAAAACAGCGGTTAACAGAATAAGCGAATTTTATGCGTGTAACTTAAACATTACATTGTAATGTTATTTGTTAATGTTGTTTATTTTTTTTTGTTTTTTCTTTCTAAAATGCAAGCGCTTTCAGAGCCCCTTGACATCTCTCTATGCCCTCCTTGGGAGGCGCGCCCCTCTGGTTAAGAACTCATGGTCTAAACCCTTACGAACCTTTAAATTAAATAGGTATCCCTACCGTAAGCTTGGCAACAGCGGCCACACGCCGCCGTACCATCTAGCGACTCTATTTTAATTTCGAGCATAATTACTGGCTTTATCAAAGGGAAAGTTATGGCGGGGAGCGGTTAGAAGGGCGGAGGCGTTGTCTTTGTGCCGAGGCGCTGCCGGAGTTTAATTTTTGCCCCGGAAGACGACGACGGAAAGTTGAACGACGGACGTTAAAGGCGCTAAGGTGTTATTAGGTGGCAAGGGCGGGGCTGAACTGTGATTGTCGTTCTACAGAGCCTTTTGGGGTGTTAACAGGCAGGAATCGAACTTTGTAATTGTAATAAGGCGAATAGTCCCTATTGATAAATGGGATCATCCAAAGTGTGAGAAATGTAGTCGAATAAGCTTCCTAGCTTGTAAAAGATGTCGTCATATGCATATACTCAATACGGTGAGAGATGCAAGTCGCTTAAATGGGGGCAAAGTTGCGAATTTAAATTTAAAATACTTACAGAGAGAGACGAAAGAAAACAGATTTTTCCAAAACTGTTTTATTTTTTCCTGATTGAATTCAAAATGAATTGCACATTGGCATTGCCATTATGAGAATTTCCATATCACATTTCGGCTCTTGTCCTCCGGCATCTACTTTATGTTTTCTTATTAACGCCGAGTAGAGTTTTCAATTCTGATTCCAAAAATGTATGGTATACATTGACAGTGCCATACCTTATTTATTCGAAAAAAGCAGAATTTCCTAGATAGGCCTCGAAATTATCAGACAGTCATTTTTTTACCAGATTCATCGCAAAATTATTTTTTATTTTTCCTGACATTATTTGAGACGGGATTTCAAATTAAATTATATATTGTCATTGTCACTTTTTCTCCTCCACAAGTTGGCCCAGTCAAATATTTTATTCGACTTCCATCACCAACTTCGTTTTTTCGTATGGACGCTATATGCAATATTGGAATTTTGTACATTTAAAAGGAGTTTTCAGTCCTAAAGTCAGTGATATATTTCCTTAATGGGCCATGAATTTCTTGATGGATCAATAATTATAAGGAAATAAAATGGTATGATGAAACCGGAACACGGACTGAATTTTTTTTTGCTTGTAATAATAATAATTAAAAATAAGTAGAGGTAAATCCTAGTAGATGTTTAAAATCTTCTCAGTTATTTTGTAGGCAAGCCCTGACTCTTCTCTATTCATTGTTCACTGTTCGATTAGTTTCCCTTATTCTCACTCTTCCTAACTCAATTACTATGTTCAATTTGATATCTGGCCTGGTATATGAAACAAATGACTGAAAATGCAAGCCCTACCTAGTATATTCAGTTTTCCTCGAATAATCAAGGCACTTTGTCATATTTACTGTCCAACGGCAACACCTTAACGTTGTATGTACATAGACTACTCACACCACAATCATATATTGATGAGTTATTTACAGAAAGTGCAAACCCTTTGTGCAGCAGTATGATTTTAACACCACAATGCGGCATACTTCCTATTCGAAATCAATTTGTTCTGGCAAAAATTACGGAACTCGTCAGCCTCTTCAGATTCTACCCTAAGACCAAAAAAGATCGTGAGTTCATATTAGCCTAGGCAACAGGGAAACATCTACAGACTTTTGTCATATTTCCTCCTTGAACATAGATGCCATTCCATTCACTACGACCTTATTTTCACCTTTTGATTCCTCATATCTTCAGGTAAATGACTTGTTTCCTCAGAGTTTTTCTTCAAGTTTTCTCTTAGACCTCAAAAGAAAATAACGTGATAACTCCGAAATGCCGAAATAAATAATAATAATTAAAAGGTAGTCTAAGCTCCTTTTTCCAGAAAACTCTTCAAAATGAATACTTATTGAAATATATTCATTAATAATTTGATTTCTGAAGTCTTCCGCGCTTTCACTAGACTTTAAAAATCAACTATATAATCCTGAATGGGGCTCTTTTTATATGGATTTTTTGCAATATACCACTTTCCAACAATACGTTGACGTGAAATAACAGCACAAATCGAGTAGCTTTGAAGAATAGACCACAGGACATCGAATATCGATCATAGTACACAGGAGGAAGGAATGGATGGAACTTTTGACAGTGCGGCGTTGCCATATTTTGCAATCTTATTGATCAGAGGAAAAGCATACTCACTGATCGAAAATATTATCTATCAAATCGCCCACAATATGTCCGGATATCAAGATAATTTAGAAAGGAAATGTATATTAAGTGAGTGTCCCACAAAGAACAGTCTTAAGTCCAATGTTATTCAATATATATTTAAATGATATTTTCCAAATTAATTGTGTCGGCAAAATAACCAGTTTTGCAAATGATACTGCAATATTTTATTAAGGCACTGACTGGTCTGATCTAAAAAAATGTAATTGAAAATGATTTTGTCAAAGTTATTCGGTGATTTGATACTGGAAAATTAAGCATTCACTATTCTAAAACACATTTTTTATCATTTGCATCTTATGCTTGACATTCGCTAAATTACACAAATTTCTCCTTCAACATAGTAATAGTCTTGGATCTTCACTTACATTGGGACATCCATGTCAATTATATTTTAAAGAAGGTTAGATTTGTATCGTACAAAATTAAATACCTTTCGAAAAGACAGACAGAAAAATATTTTAGAACAAAATACCATACAATAATTGAACCTCATCTCACATATGGTATATTAGCATGGGGAGCTGCATGTTCATCACATATCTATAAATTATTCTTCAGACAAGTATTCTAAAAATAATGTTTAAAAAACCGAAACCTTATCCCACTGACAAATTATATACAGATGCACAAATGTATGAAATAAGACAGCTTTATTTCTTAAACAGTATCACTCACTAACATAAATTTGTCAACACGACCGACCAAAAAATTGAACAATCATTATACAAGGTACAAAATTTGTACACAGTAGTTCCTCAGCCGCATAAATCTATAATTTAGGGGTCATATCTCCATTTGTCGCCAAAATTTTATGAAGTTATACCTAAAAATTTGAAAGATTTACTTTTTGGAGATTATTTCGAAAGAAATTTGATATAGTGGCTATACAGGGTGTCCGCAGAGTTGGGGTTTTCATTTTCAGAAACAACTACCCTTGAAATAACAAAGGTAATGTGTAGTGTAACGAGGGCGACCAAGTAAAAAAAATAAAGGAAAAAGTACTCACTCTCCAGTTGACGAGAAGGGCTAAGTACGTCTCTGCCCGAAATCATACCGCTCCAACAGAAAATGAAATCAGCTGATGCGCTACCGAGCAGACGCAAGCGGTGGTGCAGACCACGAACAGAGGTAACAAATATGACGGCGTTGCCGCATTTTCAGTTTTTAGGTAAACGTACTTTATAGGTATTGTTCGAAGTTATCGCCGTTTGATTAAAAAACACAGGTGCGTGCACGACGTAGCCAAGCATCGGTGAAGATTTTAAGAATGGAGTCCCTCCCCCGAATGAAAGCACCAGCTTGTTCAATTCTGAGACGAAGTTCGTCAACCGTATGTACTTCAGTTTTTGTACACTAAGCGTTTCATTTCGCCCCAAAGAAAAAAATAACATGGTGTTAAGTCTGGAGATCGCGGAGGCCACGCTACGGGTCCATTACATCCGATCCACCCATTCGGAAATAAGTCATTCAAAAACTCACGCACTCCGCGTCTAAAATGGGGCGGTGCACCATCGTGCAGAAACCACATTGATTGTCTTACACTTAATGGCACATCTTCTAACAAGGAAGGCAAAATGTTGCGTAAAAAGTCTAGGTAATGCATCCCGTCCAATCGATTTGGGAGAATAAATGGTCCAATGAGCATACCGTTCACCATGCCAGCCCAAACATTCACCGAAAATGTTTGTTGAAAATGTGCCCGACGGACAGCGTGCGGATTTTCTACTGACCAAACATGAGTCTTGCGAAAGTTATTCACCCCATTACGCGTGAACGTAGATTCGTCTGTCACCAATATGCACTTCAAAAAGTCCGGATTATTGTCATGTTGATGCAACAACCACTCACAAAACCGCACTCTTGCTGG